CAGGCAGGCAGGCAGGCACGTGAGTGGTTAGGAGCCAGCAGTTCCAGCTTGTGAGAGGAATGTCTGACTGCCGGGGGATCGGGCCTAAACCGGCAGTTGGACATCCCCAGAAGGGTCCTGGATTGTGAGAGGGTGCAGGCCGGGCTGAGGGACTCCCCCTGCTTGTGCACGAATTTCGTGCACTGGGCCTCTAGTAATTAATAAATACTAATGCAAGAATAAACTCTGTTTCATGTATGCATAATTGTAAACCTACTTTCGCTCCACCATATATCTATGATAATAAAAGAGTACTATGCTAATTAGACCGGACGTCATTCTGGATGTCCTTCTGGACTAAGCTGGGGCTGGAGGGAAGTCCGGGTCCCGGGTGCCAGAGGGAAACCGGTGCCAGCAGCCGGGGGAAGGAAGGCCTACTCTTGCACAAATTTCATGCATCGGGCCTCTAGTATGACAATAATAAGCATTTCTGTAAACAAAATTTTGTACTCTTCCATGATAAATTTCTTTAAGATAAATTTCACTTGAGGTAGAACTGCATGCCAAAGGTTCAGCATTTTGAGACTTTCAGATTACCCTCTGAACAGTTGTACCAATTTACACTCCTACATTTCTGAGTGCATGTTTCTTAGTATCCCTGCTAAAAATGAGTTTTTTTAAAATTTCACAAATTTCATAGACAAAAGTATATCTCATTGTTCTCTTGATTTGTAGTGTGTATGAAGTTTTTTACACATTAGACCTGTACAGTGCTTCTGAAGAGAGTAGACCAGTTTTGTTCCCAGCTCATTTTCTACTGTATCAATACTCTATTCTTAAACAGACTATTCCAGAAATTAAAATTTTTAAAAGTAAATTTTCACACACCCCTGCCACATTTTTCTTCAAATAGAAACACTTTGATATCCACTACAAAGCATACCCTTATAGCTGTTTAGTATATTTTAGGGTTATGCAGTAAGGAACACTTTTAAATGAGTAATATTACTATGCCATTCCTAATTTTCTTTTGTTAAAATGCAATGATCACAAATGATACTACTTTATGTTGAATGGCACCTTCAAGATCATCTAACCATACAGCTTCTGTTTACAGTTAAAAACTGAGGTGCTAAGAGATTAAGTGACTAGCCCCAAAGTCACATATTTAGGGGCAGAACAAAGAAAAGCATTGAGTCCTACTACCATGCTCTTCACATGCCACACTGAGTAATCCATGTTTAGCAGAGGAATCCTTGACCTTTAATCAAAACATAAGTGTGGCCGAAACCGGTTTGGCTCAGTGGATAGAGCGTCGGCCTGCGGACTGAAAGGTCCCAGGTTCGATTCCGGTCAAGGGCAGTAAGACACAATTGTAGTTTAGGGGTGTTTAAGGCTTGTTTTACAAGGGTAGCTGTATAAAATGGTGCCTGCCCATTTAATTGCTGTGCCTGGACAATATAATTTAATATCAACAAAGGACAATTTCCAGAAATGAAAATTATTATATCCCTAGTTATTTGGCTTCTCTGGAAAACCTATACTACTATGTAACAAAATCATGTTTATCCAGATGATTAGGACCAAGTACTCAGATTTTTAAAAAAATCCACACAAAGGACAGCTACACTAATACAAGTACAATGAAAACCATAAAAATAAGAAAAACAGAAATCTTGAAGGGAGTTCAAATTTCCACGTGGCACATATTCTAAATGCCAATCAGGGGGAAAAAATCACCTGCTAAGATTTTTAAAAACTTAAGCCCCATGTAAAGTAGAGAAGGGAAGAAAAAAACTCTGCCTTATCCATATCCCTTATTTTGAAAAATCTGACCAGATTTTTAGATGCCTGTCTAAAGAAAACAAAAACAAATAAACAGAATAGGGAGCCACATTTATCTTCTGTATGTAACTGGTTCCATAAAGAGCACTTTCTGGCTATTGATTCATAGGATCTAAGTTATGGGCCAATTGTTGACACACATAGAAATATTCTAGATTGCTTCTGGTGGGGCTTTACATATGGCACTGTACAAACTACAAAGAGTAATTTATTACAGTCAAACCTCAGTTCTCAAACATCTCCCATCTCGAACAATTCGCCTCTCAACCTGACAACCCTTTTATGCTGATACTTGTATGATCATTCCCATGTCTCTTGGGCGACAAAGGAGAGTCTGAGTCAGTTTACCACTAAATCTCACGCTGTTAACATCCCAGGAAAGTATGCTGTGAATATTTTCGTGTTTCTATGCTTCTGTTGCTGCTTATTTTTAAATTTTAATTTTTTACTGTACACTTTTTTATTGAATTTTCATTTACATTTCATGTCCTTTTTGTTTTTAAAGTGTTTATTTATAGATTAAACAGTATATTAGACATGTACTGTATATAAGAAAGGCTAGCCCTAGCTGGATTGGCTCAGTGGATAGAGTGTTGGCTTATGGACCGAAGGGTCCTGGGTTCGATTCTGGTCAAGGGCACATGCCTGGGTTATGGGCTTGAGCCCCAGGAGGGGGTGTGCAGGAGGCAGATGATGAATGATTCTCTCATATCTTTGATGTTTTTATCTCTTTCTCCCTCTCACTTCCTCTCTGAAATAAATTAAATATTTTTTAAAAGGCTAAAACAAGGAATCATTTGGGGGGGGGGTCTAGAACAGATTAATTCAATTCAGATTACTTCTAATGGTAAATAATGATTTGGTTCTTGAACAGCCTTCCAGAATGAATTAAGTTTGAGAACGGAGGTTCCACTGTACTTCCTTTTGAGAGACAAGGGGACATAGTGAAAAGAGTATGGATTTTTGAGCAGATGAACCTGTTGAATATTGTTTCTACCATTTACCCTATGTGAGATCTTGACCAAATTAATTTCTCCAGGCCTCAGTCTCCTCCTCTGTAAAAGGGAGTAAAACCACCTACTTCACAGGAATACTACAAGGATTGAGAGAATACATGGGCACACATAATAGTAGTTTCTTCAGCAGCTTTGAATTGCTCCATTGAAAATCAAATGATGAACTTCACTAAGTTTCTCCAAGGCACTTTGGCAGTCTGTCAGTAGTAGGGAGCCTGAGGTCAATTTCTGGAACACAGAAAAGATACCCGAAAGCCTGTCAAGCTCCAGCCCACTTAACAGAGAAAACGAAAAACAAAACACAAAAACCAAACAAACAAAACAGATTATATTGAGCTGATGATTAATATGGGATCCTGCTTGCATCTGATGAGGTCATTAAACAAAAAACTAATTACAAATGACACTCATGTTCAAAATATATTTTAAATGTTACTGAATGGTTAAGCACTTGTTAGGTAGGTAAAACACTTCAGACTACCGTATTTGCCGGCGTATAAGACGATTTTTTGGCCTGAAAAATATGCCTCCAAGTGGGGGGTCGTCTTATACGCCAGGTACACTTCAGATAGACTGCCCATAGTGCTTGCCCCGTGCCATAGTGGCCTCCCGATGCCCGCCCACTTCATTCCACATACCGTTCAGGCATCAGCAGCGCTGCTGGGTGTATGC